CTTGCTTACCAATAAAGCACCCTAAAAAGGGAATCTCTTCTTCACCAAAAATGCACTTGGACGCGTTGGCGTACAACTTATTCGTGCGCATGCACTCGAGCACCGCTCGTAAATGGTCAATGTGATTATCCACATCTGACCGACCGTTCATAGCACGACTATGGACAAAGATGTCATCAAAGTACGTACGTGCATAACCTCTGTGAGGTCTAAACAATTGTGTCACAAGAGGGTTGAATGTAGCCGGGGCATTTGATAGCCCTTACGGCATAACGAGCCACTCCCAGAGCATACCGCTTGGAGTGCTGACCGCTGACAGCGGAATATCGCTTTCTCGCATGAGAAGCTGGTAATAACCATCGACTAAGTCGAGCGCACTGTACATTGTACATCCCACCATTTTATTCTGAATAACATCCTTCCTCGGAATTGGTGTCTGAGCCGGGATGGTGGCCGCATTAAGCTTGTTGTAAGCATGAACAATGCGCCACTTCCCATTGAGTTTTTTTGACACAGAAGGTCGGTGTGGAATGGGGAGATTTGCTCTCACGTACCATTCCTGCCGCGTGCTTTGCACGAAAGAAGTCGTCTATGACGTCACACTGTTCCTTGGGCAAAGGCCACTGCCGTGTTACGCAGTATTTAGTTCCAGGAACCAAGTCAATTTCATGACGCACACCTCTATCAGGAGGTAAGACAGACGGTGGGATGTGACACACCACGTCTTGAAATTCCTTTACCAAAGGATAAAACGGATCAAGAGGATCTTTAAGGATCGAGGATCCACTACGGGCATCCAATGCCGCCTTTGTGTCCTCAAGGACAGACTCGTCCAATAACGAGGATGAGTTCAACTCAATATCAGGACGAATGACCACTAACTCGGAGAATTCTCCTGCCTGCAAGGCTTGGCTAAATTCGCCGTCAGACATCTCGTCTAGCTCACAGATTTTATCCACGGATGGAAGAGTCTCAAGACTAATGTTGCCATCGATCTGGCCAGTCACTCCATTGACAAGTGTATACAGTTTATCATTACTATTATCACTCTGTGACTTCTCAAACGTTGGGCGCTTAACAGTCACCACCCTACGCTTCGATTGTTTCCTCAAAGAAACCTTACGCCTCTTAGAGGCCGGGACAGCAAAGTCCCCATGGTTGCTATTCATCTTAGCACGCTCTATACGAGAGCTCATGTCTTGAGCGACATCTGGTGAAGTGTTACGTAACTCGAACACTTCACCCAGTGGATTTACACGTGCCACTTCACGTACATTATTCGGGCCTAGCCCTAAACACTCTGGCTTCTCGCCAACAATGTCATTACCGACATTCAGTGAGGTGCCCCCTCGGCCGCCCTCACTCTGTGTATTTTCACGTGCCACCGCACTTATAGCATTAGGGCCTAGCCCTGAACACTCTGGCTTCTCGCCATCAATGTCATTACCGACATTCAGTGAGGTGCCACCTCGGCCGTCCTCACTCTGTGTATTTTCACGTGCCACCGCACTTACATCAGAGGAATTACATTCTTGATGTTTCGGCCCTAGGCCAACCATGCTTGATGCATGCAGTGACTCAGTATCACAACGAGTATCACTCAACGGAGTATAACTCTCTGCAAACGCGTTAGAAGAGCTCCGCTCAATATTTATGTCATCGACATTCGAGTTAAATAACTCTGACATACCAATGTCCAGCACATTGACATCTTCCGTCAATGGCTCGCGCCAATAGCGCTTTTGTTGCCTAGCAAAGGTGGGTTCATGACTCTCCAAAGATTCGCTAGGAACATTGCGCGTTGCGCCTAAGGTCTTAGACCTCCAATCAATCCATGGCTCATGACGTTCAAGCCAAGCCATACCCAGGATGAGATCATATCTCGAATCCAAATCGAGGACGAGACAACGTTCAATGCTGTCAAAGTCCAAAAACTTCACACCTAAGTTCAACGGAACTTTAGGCACCGTGACGCGACTACCAGTGGCTAAACGAACGGTGATCGAATCACCTTCGTGCGCTTTGAGCGCTTCAGCGTATCGCTGACTTCCCTCAAGGGAACGACGTCGAGCATAGTTACATGATGCTCCTGAATCGATTAAAATCGACCACGGCTTCTCAAAGCCTTTTACTGTCGCCTCGGCGACTAACAAGCCAGGCTTGTATCCACGCTCTGTGTTGGCTGACACAGCGCTAAGTGGGGCTAAGCCCTGTTTCACTTTATCTCGTAGAGATGTGACAGAACTTAGTTCTACCCCAGTAGGGCGCCCCGCGCCTACTGGGTGTCGACGTTTCCCCGTGCCATACCAGGTTTCTGGTTGAGGCTGGGGTTTCGGCTCATAGGAGTCGGTTGTTGCTTACGCAAGGGACAAGTGGGACGCAAGTGTTTAGTGCTTCCGCACGTGTAACAGCGTCTCACATCCTGTCGTTGCTCCGCAACATGAAGCTCCGCTTCGCCTGAATCTTCAGCATGGCTAAGATCCATCGGTTCTGGCTTACAGTAAGCCGAAGCCCTCGCAGAGGCCGCCCTCGCAAAGCTTGGGTTGTACCCATTCCAACCAAGTCTGGCCGACTTGAAGTTGTGCTCAGCATTTTGAGCGACGCTCACAGCTTCCTCGAAGGTAGAGGGATGAACCCGAAAAACCTCGGTCCTGGCCACGCCAGTGCGAAGACCTTCCATGAAGACTGTCACGTAGACAGTCTCAGGGAGAGGGTCAGACTGCATAGCAGCCATTAGAGTTCTCAACTCTTGGACATAGTCCGTTAACTCGCTCTTACCCTGACGGGTTGATAAGAAGCGTGATCGCACGCGATATGCCTGGTTAGGCGGCGAGAAAACTCGCATGAGGTCTAACTTGAGCGATTCCCACGTGGGAAATGCCAAATTGACCGACGTGCCACACGTCAAAGCCCACTCTCTAGCTCTACCATCGAGCTTAGAGATGGCCAAAGAGACCCGCTGGTTCTCCAGTGAGATAAGACCAGAGTCCATGGCCATCTCAATCTCACGGATCCAGAGGGTCAAGTTTTCCCCCTCCTTCCCGGAGTAAAGTTTAACATCCACCCGAAGGGGACGAGGCTTAGCCTCTTCTGGTGGCATAGCCACGTAGCGTGTCGGCATAGCCGACGCTACTTGGTTTTGAACCTGGCCCAACAGGGCCGTTTCATACTGCGTAAAGGCCTCGACTCGTGCATTGAGCACATCGGGACCCTGTGCAGCTAGAAACTCCACATACTCTAGGCCTACGGCCGCGGTCAGATTATCAAGCGCGACCTTTTGAGCCTCAGAGAGGGGTGTGGATTGCTCCATCCTCGCAGAGGATCAGTCGTTACCGACTCAGGTGTAGATTGACTACGAGTGCTACCAAGTGTAGCGGAGCTACACAGCTCCTTAAGTCAGAGGAAGACTTTACGCTCAATGAGCAACTTTGGTTCAAAGAACCCGACTCAGAGAGTCAACAGCTCAAAGAGCTTACGGTCCCTGTTCCAGGGGGACCAAACGATTCAAAGAATCGAACGCACTAAGTGCACAAGGAGTATCTGCCTTAACAAGGCGTTGCTACTTCCTTACGATCGCAAGACGCCTCAGAGAGGCACGTGTCTTTTGTTGATCAAAATGGGAACTGCATTTTATTTCTTCATTTAACCTAAAAGAACACCTTAGAACAACGTATTTAACCTGCCCTAAATAACCTCTTAAAAGATCTTGCAATCAATTGATGACAGACACCAGTCTTCAACAATTGATACGCTCACTGTGTTCTAATATTACCTTATAGGGTACCCCCCTCTCGTGTGTGCACCACACCTATCGTCGGCTACCAGCCGACGAGTAACCCCGTTACAGAATAAGTCGCGCTATACGTCTACGGAAGTGTCACACCTGGATTGTTTTGGCCAGGTGTGTTCAAGAACTCTCAAGCAACATCAACTGCGATCGGACGCAACAAGACACGTAAAGGCAAGGCGCAAGATTCGCGAGAAGGCTCGCGGATCAAGCTACCACATAGTGGACAAGGCGATCTCGTTGAGATCAGGGTAACTTATATCAGTACCCACGAGTACCCCGTGATCGCGTAAAGATTTACGCACGATCACAACCCCATCTCCAGCACGGTCAAGTTTTCCTTCGACACGAGTCCACCTGGAAGAGTGCAACCCGCCCTACCGACGGGTACACAAGGTGAGGAAGGCAACACACACGGAATCGCAGTACACCCTCCGTTAGTCGGTCGTCCGGGCGCCAGTGGAGAGTTGGGATCGACTCATAAATTGAGCGATCGCCACTCCACCACATCACCAGGCTTACCTGGACCCAGCCCCGGTCAGCCCTCTGATCCTCCTGCGCTGACATCATGGCTAAGGCTGTACCAGAGATCATGCACATAGTTGATTCCGTGCAATAGACCATCCGTAACAAAAAAAAATACTACCAGGTGTGACGGAGTATCTCACGCAAATGCTTGCAATTTTATGTGCTTCCCATAGTGATGACAGTGTAGACCAGGTACCGCGACGCGAGACGGGTTGACCCAGTCAGGCATTCTCTATGTATCGGACTTGACAGCAGAAACGCTTTAGGTCCAGGCGCGTCGCACAGACTTTCCCTCATGTTTATGTAAAGAGGCGAGGCGGTCGTAGATTGCCCTATACTGCTGCAAATTTCATCCACAACCTTTGTACTAAGCAATTTGCCGCACCATTTAGAAGTGTGGTCAGTAGTAAAGGCTACAATTCTTCAGATAAGCAATTGCTGCTCGAAATAGAAGCGTGGTCGATAGCTAACACTTGTTGACAATGGAATGGATAGCGCTGCCCTATCAGTACAAAACGACGATATCGATCAACCATCTCTTCGCGCTATCGATCACCTCTATTCGCTTCTTTTGTGCTTTACCACCCAACAGAGGTTTCCACGCGCTCGTTCTTGACAGCATTCCAAGTCAGAATACCGACCCCATCCACACTCAACTCCCACATAATCGACACGACGGTCAACAATGGGCAAGAAGAAGACGCCGGACAAGACGCAGCGACAGGCCGACAAGAAGCTCAAGCAGAGCGCCAAGGGCGCCAAGAAAGACCGCAAAGCGTTGGGCCATACAGAAGAAGACATTGAGGTGCTGCTCCACGAGTTTTGCAAGAAAGACGCGGCGCGCACGCACGTGACAGTGGACGCCGCGCCGCCGCCGTCGCCCCGGGCGCACTTCACGCTCTCGACGCTGCCGTCGGGCGAGTTGCTGCTCTTTGGCGGCGAATACTTTGACGGCGACGTGAACGTGTGCTTCAACGACGTGTTCAAGTGGACTCTGGACGTGCATAACGTGGTCGGAGACGCGGTTTTTGACGGAGGCAAAGGCGATGCTCGTTGTGGGGAGGAGTCTCAAGATAAACGACGTGCGGATCCGGCGTGGAAACTCATTTGCTCGTTGCATACGCCGCCGCCTCGATGCAGCCACCAAGCAGCCGTGTTCAGGGACCATGTCTACGTGTTTGGCGGCGAGTTTGCAACGGCCGAGCAGTTTCATCACTACCGGGATCTATGGCGACTGAATTTGAAGACTAATGCGTGGGAAGAGCTCGAGGTAAAGGGCGGACCGTCACCGCGAAGTGGCCATCGCATGGTTGTGTGGCGGAACTACCTCGTGGTGTTTGGCGGGTTTTACGAAGCAGCGCGAGAGACCAAGTACGTGCCTGCGTGGATGGGTGTTTGAATGGACACTGGAATCGATGGATGTCTTGTAGTGAAGGTTATGAGGATGTGGTGGTGCTGGTAGCGATTGGAAGAGTGACTGACTTGGCGGACGGTGTTGTTTTGTCGTGACAGGTGGTTCAACGATGTGTATTTATTTAATCTGGCCTCGCTGCAGTGGCAAAAGATTACGTACCCGCCACATCGACAGGTGCCTGCCGAACGCAGTGGCTGTCAGATGGCAGTGCACCCGTCAAAGGATCTGGTGTTCATGTACGGAGGATATGCCAAGGTGAAAATCGCGGGCGAAAAGGCGGAAGGCAAAGTGTACTCTGACTTGTGGGCGCTGAATCTGGCCCCAGTGCTCAAGCACCAGGCGCCCACGTGGGAGAAGCTGTCACGGAAAGGCCAGGCGCCGAGTCCTCGTAGCGGAGCGGCCGCGACGGTGCACAAACAGCGCTTCATTTTTTTCGGAGGCGTATTTGACGAAGAAAAACGTCGTCATACGATGCAGTCGACGTTTTACAATGATCTGTTCGTGTACGACATGGATCGTCGTCGTTGGTTTGAGTATAAAGTTCGAGGTAAGAAGTCCACGGACAGCAAGCGCCGACGCAAGAAGAAGGTAGGGGTGATAGAGGATGCGACGGCCGGTGACAGCGATGAAGCTGATAGAGATGACGAAGAAGACGACGATGACGATGATATGGAGGATTTCGATGCGATCGCGGACAAGCAGTTTGGATATGTGGACGATATGGGCAATATCGTGTATGTAGAGGACGTCCACGAGGAAGAGGAGAGTAAAGAAGATGTTGAGGAAGGAGACAGCAATGATGTGCCGCAAGAAACTTGTGCTGCGAAGCAAGTCGAGGTGAAGCTGGAAGACGAAGAAGAGGAAACAAAAGAGGATATGGCGGAGAGCTCTGCTGTATCTGCTGATGAGACAGAGCTCGTTATAGTCGAGGAGAAAGGTCCGGTTGCTCCTGCGCCTTGTCCGCGCATTAATCCTGCTCTGATTGTTCGAGGAAGCACGCTATATGTCTATGGCGGTGTTGTAGAGGATGGCGACCGCGAGATAACGCTTGATGATTGTTGGTCACTGGACCTCAAGCGTCTTGATGAGTGGAAACAAGTGCTGCCTGGCACAATGTCGCATCAGATCTGGAAGGGCGACGTGAGCGAGACGGAGGAGTCCTCAGACGATGACGACGACGACGATTACGACGAATCTGATGATAACGAAGAGGATGAGGAGGACGATAACGACGACGACGACGCGGGTCGCATGAAGGCGCGCAAAGAAAAAAAGTTGGCGAAAGCTGTGAAACGGGCGATGGTTGTGCTTGCCAAGAATGAAGGAGAGGACGTGAAGGAAGCGGTGGCGAGAGAAAAGAAAGACAAGAAGAAGAAAGGCAAAGTCAAGAAGGAGAGTCATCGCAAAACGATTCGTGCGGAGATGGAGAAGTTGCAGGAACAATTGGGACTTGGCGATATCGACCGCACGCCTCAAATGGGTGAGAACTTGCGTGATTTCGTCGCACGTACCGATGCGACTTGGGCAAGAGAGGTAATGAAGCGTCCCAGCACTGTGGAGCATGAGCTTAGCATCAAGGAGATCAAGCGAGAGGGTTTCTTGCTAGCTGAAGCGCGTTACACGGAGCTTCTACCAGGTACAGGCAATTTGAATGCTACATCTACGATGGGGGTTGTTTTTGCTAACGGATGTTGCTGTGATGCAGTACTGGAGCGCCTGAATGCGCTTGAGCTTGAGCAGAAGGAGGCTGAGGAGTTGCACGCGTTGAAGAAGAAGGGCGGGAATGAAAAGAGTCGACGTTGATAGCGGCTCATCAGCATGATAGCAGCTTATTTAGTTGAGCTTGTCTATAGATTTTATTAGCTGAAACGTGTCACTTGAATCTGTTCGAGCTGCTTGACATTCGTTCCGTCACCAACGCTTCCGAAGCATCCGAGGAGTTTGCACAACATAACCGATACACGCGACATCAACGAATGTGCCCACCGTTGTCAACCTAAGCGCCAGCTAGGAGAAGATCCGACGGAATAGCCCCTTGGGTGCTTCCGGTTCCAAGAACTTCATCTCGCGCTCTTCGCCCAAGAAACGTGCCACTGCGTCCTCAAACGCTACTGCTGCCTTTTCTCCTTCGACAGTAATCACCGGCTGGCCCATATTCGACGACGTGAGCACGTGCGCACTCTCCGGAATGACTCCGCACACTGGCAACCCCAGCATTTCTTCAATGTCGTCCACCGAAAGGCAGTCGTCGTTTTTGACACGATTGGCATCGTATCGATTGACCAGCAGTCGCTGAGTAACAGGTTCGCGACCTTCTTGAGCCCGACGTGCATGACTTGCAATGAAGCCGATCATCTTGTCCGAGTCGCGACAACTAGAGATCTCGGGATTCGTGACCACAAGTGCATCGTCGGCAAAGTACATGGCGTGACGAGCCCCCGACTCAATGCCAGCGGGTGAGTCACATAGAATAAAGTCAAACTGTGACTTGAGCTCGTCGAGAACGAGTTCCACGCCTTTTTCCGTCAATGCTTCCTTGTCCCGAGTTTGGCTGGCGGCTAAAAGCGACAGTCGATCCAGTCGCTTGTCTTTAATCAGCGCTTGACTCAGCCGACAATTTTTCTCAATCACGTGAATAAAGTCAAAAATGACCCGCCGTTCGCAGCCCTAGTATAAGTGGACCACGTTGTCAAAAATCACACCCGTCGTCGAGCGAATAAACAACAAACAATGACAAAAACAGAATGACTCGCTTCACGTTTGTATGGTCGTTGCGCAACGTACCAGATGCAAGTCTAAGTTGCGCAGTCCAATGTCAAAATCAATCAGACACGTCCGAAAGCCACGTTGTGCCAACCCGTAGCCCATGGAAGCCGTGACCGTGGTCTTGCCCACACCGCCTTTGCCCGACGTGATGACTACTACACGACCTGCTGCCTTTGAGGTCGTCGAGGCGTAGCGAGCGAGTGCTGTCATGCGTAGACGGCATGGCAGGTTGTTGACCGTGGATCGCATGGTCAAAAACGAGTCGTGGCGGTCACAATTGATGTGATAATGCAGGAGAACGTGTCGGGGTGCTGAGCTGACATTGGTGTCAATGACGTATACATCTTGCGTCACATGTATACCGTGTAGTATTACAATTATTGTAGTGGTGAACTTGATTTTGCAATAATAATAGACCTGTGCACATGGCAATACGACACTCCTTGCCGCAAGAGCAATGGCGCTGGCATCGATATGAAAATGACATCAACTCCTGCAATCGACTGATCGACCGGAATGGTGCTAGTGCTCACTACCGTACATGGCGACAAGTCCATCGTCCTTTCGCATCACACTTCACCCATAATGTCGGATTAAGATAGAGACATTCTTGAACTATAGCTTGACAAAGTAAGAGACGATGCTGTTGGTGGCAGCGTGTGATGAGTGTAGTGACATCAACACGATGAGGCACGAAGGCCACGCAAATAGTTACTTAACACGCTGTACACAGCTACTTCGACGCGAAGTTTAGTGTCGTAAGACGCGTAACTGAACAATACATCGAGCAGGTCAGGCGAGAGTTGCTTCATAATATGTGTTTCTGTGGCTCACTTGCCTTGTCAATTCTATCATCAACGCTGCATGTACAAGAAAACGTATCAGCATGCAAGGTTCGATGCCTATGATATCCAGTCGCGTCTCTTTGTGACGATAACGATGCTGGGGCAAGGAGACGTCGTTGTCGTCGTCAAGCCACGAGGCAGATAGCGAACTTATTGCTCTTGTGCTTGTATTGTAACAATAACGCACATTGAGTGATTGCATTGCAACTGCTTGAGCGCTAAAGTGCATTGTGTATCGCGAAGCTCGCGGGGTACCTTTTTTGAGTGCGTTCTACGATCGACGTTGATATGCTGCAGGCGGTGAGACGACAGCAACTAGGCTGCAGACGATATTAGTTTGGATGGCCCATTGTGTTTGTGTGCTCGAGCTCGAGTATGCAAACGAAATAGACATTACATTGGACCGAAAGATCTGCATGATTCACACTATATCTTCTCGTGGCATTACAACGTTTGTTGCGACAGAGGCTTCAAGCCGAAAGGGACAACACCACACATCGATAGCGATACGGCATGAACAGTAGACCAAGTTTCGATGTGTTTGCATTTTATGATTGTGTGTAACGGGGTTACACGTCGACTGGTAGTCGACAATAGGTGTGGTACACACAAGGGATGGGATCCCTTTTAAAGTGATATTAGAATACAGTATCAATTGTCGAAGACTGATGTCTGTCAACCATTGATTAGGAGATCTTTTGAGAGGTTTATTTAGGACATTAGCGAGTAGGTTAATCACGTTGTTCTAAGGTGTTCTTTTAAGTTAAAAGAAGAAATAAAGTTCAGTTCCCATTTTGATCCGATAGACACGTGCCTCTTTGAGGCGTCTTGTGATCGTTGAGGAGGTAGCAGCGCCTTGTTAAGGCAGCTACTCCTTGTGCACTCTGTGCGTTGATTCTCTGAATCGCTTGGCCCCCCTGGAACAGGGACCGTAAGATCTCTGATCTTGTTGACTCTTTGAGTCACGTTCTTCAAACCAAACCTTAGCTCTCGGAGCTGTTGACTCTTTGAGTCGGATTCTCTGAACCTTAAGTTGCTCGTTGAGCGTTAAAGTCTTTCTCTGACTTAAGGAGCTGTGTAGCTCCGCTACACTTGGTAACACTTGTAGTCAATCTACGCCTGAGTCGTTACGACTGATCCTCTGTGAGGATGAAGCAATCCACACCCCTCTCTAAGGCCCAAAAGGACGCGACTGATAATCTTACCGCGGCCTTAGGCCCAGAATATGTGGAGTTTCTAGCTGCACAAGGTCCCGATGTGCTCAATGCACGAGTCGAGACCTTCATGCAGTACGAAATGGCCCTTTTAGGGCAGGTTCAAAACCAAGTAGCGTCGGCTATGCCAACACGCCACGTGACAATGCCACCAGAAGAAGATAAGCCTCGTCCCCTTCGGGTGGACGTTAAACATTACTCCGGGAAGTAGGGGGAAAACCTGACCCTCTGGATCCGTGAGATTGAGATGGCCATGATCTCTGGTCTTATCTCACTGGAGTACCAGCGGGTTTCGCTGGCTATCTCCAAGCTCTATGGAAGAGCTAGAGAGTGGGCTCTGACGTGTGGCACGTCGGTCAACTTGGCGCTTCCTACTTGGGATTCGCTCAAGCTAGACCTTTTGCGAGTTTTCTCGCCGCCTAACCAGGCCTATCGCGTGCGCTCACGCTTCTTGACTACCCGTAAGGGTAAGAATGAGTTAACGGACTATGTCCAAGAGTTGAGAACTCTTATGGCTGCTATGCAGTCTGACCCTCTCCCTGAGACAGTCTATGTGACTGTCTTCATGGAAGGTCTTCGCACTGGCGTTGCCAGGACCGAGGTTTTTCGAGTCCATCCCTCGACTTTTGAGTAAGCTGTTAGCACCGCTTAAAATGCTGAGCACGACTTCAAGTCGGCCTGACTTGGTTGGAATGGGTACAACCCAAGCTTTGCGAGGGCGACCTCTGCGAGCACCTCGGCTTACTGTAAGCCAGAACCGATGGATCTCAGCCATGCTGAAGATGAAGATGAAGCTGAGCTTCATGTTGCAGAGCAACGACAGGAAGTGAAACGCTGTTATATGTGCGGAAGCACTAAACACTTGCGTCCCACTTGTACTTTGCGTAAGCAACAACCGACTCCTATGGGTCGAAACCCCAGCCTCAACCAGAAACCTGGTATGGCACGGGGAAACGTTGACACCCAGTAGTCGTGGGGCGCCCTACTGGGGTAGAACTGAGTTATGTCACTTCTCTACGAGGTAGAGTGAAACAGGGCTTAGCCATCACCGAGCTATGTGCCCACCATCACAGAGCGTGGATACAAGCCTGGCTTGTTAGTCACCGAGGCGATAGTTAAAGGCTTTGAGAAGCACTGGTCGATCCTAATCGACTCCGGAGCATCATGCAACTATGCTATACGTCGCTCCCTTGAGAGAAGTCAGCGATACGCTGAAGCGCTCAAAGCGCATGAGGGTGATTCAATCACCGTTCGTTTAGCGACTGGTAGTCGCGTCACGGTGCCTAAAGTTCCGTTGAACTTAGGTGTGAAATTTTTGGACTTTGACAGCATTGACCGCTGTCTTGTCCTCGATTTGGATTTGAGATACGATCTCATCCGGGGTACGGCTTGGCTTGAATGCCATGATCCATGTATTGATTGGAGGTCTAAGACCTTAGGCGCCACGCGCAATGTTTCTAGCGAGGTTTTAAAGAGTCATGAACCCACCTTTGCTAGGCAACAAAAGCGCTATTTGCGCGAGCCTTTGACGGAAGATGTCAATGTGCTGGACATTGGTATGCCAGAGTTAATTAACTCCAATGCCAATGATATCGATATTGAGCGGAGCTCTTTCACCGTATGTGAAGGGAGTCATACTCCGTTGAGTGATACTCGTTGTGATACTGAGTCACTGCATGCTTCAGGCATGGTTGGCCTAGGGCAGAGACATCAAGAATGCAATTCCTCTGATGTGAGTGGGGTGGCACGTGAAATCCCACCGAGTGAGGGCGGCCGAGGTAGCACCTCACTGAATGTCGGTAATGACATTGATGGCGAGAAGTCAGAGTGTTCAGGGCTAGACCCGGATGCTGTACGTGAATTGAAACGCGTAAATCCACTGGGTGAAGTGTTCGAGTTACGAAACACTTCCCCAGATGTCGCTCAAGACATGAGCTCTCGTATAGAGAGTGCTAAGATAAATAGAAACCACGGGAACCCTACTGTCCCGACATCTAGGAGGCGTAAGGTTTATTTGAGGAAACAATATGGAGTCGGGTGGCAACTGTTAAGCGCCCAACATGTAAGAAGTCACGAAGCGATAATAGTAATAATACACTATATACACTTGTCAATGGATTGACTGGCCATTTTGATGGAAATATTAGTCTTGAGACTCTTCCATCCTTGGATACTCTCTTTGACATAGACGAAATGTCTGACGGCGACTTTAGCCAAGCCTTACAGGCAGGAGAATCATCCGAGTTAGTGGTCATTCGACCGGATATTTAGTTGAACTCATCCTCGTTATTGGACGAGTCTGTCCTTGAGGACACAAAGGCGGCATTGGATGCCCATAGTGGATCCAGGATCCTTAAGGATCCTCTTGATCCGTTCTATCCTTTAGTATAGGAGTTTCAGGACGTGGTGTTTCACAAACTACCGTCCGTCTTACCTCCTGATAGAGGTGTACGTTATGAAATTGCCTTGGTTCGTGTAACTAAATACTGCGTAACACGGCAGTTGCTTTTGCCGAAGGAACATTGTGACGTCATTGACGACTTCTTTCGTGCAAAGCACGCGGCAGGAATGGTACGTGAGAGCAAATCTCCCCATTCCACACCGACCTTCTGTGTCAAAAAAAACTCAATGGGAAGTGGCGCATTGTTCATGCTTACAACAAGCTTAATGCGGCCACCATCCCGGCTCAGACACCAATTCCTAGGAAGGATGTTCTTCAGAATAAAATGGTGGGATGTACAATGTACAGTGCGCTCGACTTAGTCGATGGTTATTACCAGCTGCTCATGCGAGAAAGCGATATCCCGCTGACAGCGGTCAGCACTCCAAGCGGTATGCTCTGGGAGTGGCTTGTTATGCCGCAAGGGTTATTAAATTGCCCGGCTACATTCAACCGTCTTGTGACAAAATTGTTCAGACCTCACAGAGGATATGCACATACGTACTTTGATGACATCTTTGTCCATAGTCGTGCTATGAACGGTCGGTCAGATGTGGACAATCACATTGACCATTTACGAGCGGTGCTCGAGTGCATGCGCACAAATAAGTTGTACGCCAACGCGTCTAAGTGCATCTTTGGTGAAGAAGAGATTCCCTTTTTAGGGTGCTTTATTAATAAGCCAGGCCTTAGAGCGGATCCCGCTAAGATAAAAGCCATAGTTGATTGGCCGGTTCCAAAGAACCAAAA